GTCGTGCAATGTGACGGGTCTAGAATAAGAATTCATGTGCTAATTACATGAATATTTGTTCAAAGTGGATAAAGTTATAAAATTAGAGAAATTTCGATCCATTTACATCTCAAACTCACAAAAAGGACTAAAAACCACGTTATCTTCAAGATACTTTAAGCCACCAAATTTGGATGAAGGATCTAAGCGAAGAGACGAAATTTGAAGAAGTGATGTTAAATGACCGCCTTAATTAAGATTTTTCGCAACTGAATGGCAAAAGTCGCTTAAGCACCTTGTTGAAGCAAAGTTAGATGAGTATAGACCAAAAAGGATGCGAAAGAACAATAAAAGCAAGAAAAAAATATTAACACATGCTAGAACTACTCATAAAAACTATGGCTATTGAAAATCCAGCTACTGCTCTTGCTCAGCCGAGAAATTCAAGTAACAACTTAAGTTTAGAGTGTTAGGCGGGAAAAGCTAAATGAAGGATATACAATGCCAAATTAAAAAAAAAAGGAAGCTGATATCTATTTAAAAATGAGCTTATACTTCAGTGAAGCACAAGCGATACCGAATGATCATCAACAACTTTAATATTGTAAGATAAGCAAATAAATTGGATAATTTTAAGCTTACCAGCAACCTCAGAGGTGTAAAGAAAAGACTTGTATGCTGTTCTAAGCAAATTAAATAGTAGTAAGCAAAATTAAGCAAAGGTGTTAGCTACCATTTAAGATTCGCAAAAATTGCATATCATAACAGATAATACAAAATTCGGGACGCATAGAGATGTTATACTGGAAAAACTTACTGTTCCAATAACATTTTGTAGAAAGTTCTAGTAAAAAACGTGTCAATAAGGCATCGATGCAATAGCGCTAGTCCTAGAACCCGCCCAGCCAATTCCATCCTGAACATGCCACAACGTCGTTTCAAAGAGTTCAACCTTAATTATCCATTTCACCTCACCAACAGTTCACTTACCATTGCATTTCTTGTTGTACAAGATTTGAGTGGGGGCTAATTTGAACGGTGTACTGATTGGGAGCTGAGTATTCGAAAAGGCCATAGTATGGATGGAATAGTTCTCTTGATAGTAGGTAGAACAGTTCCCGTGATGGTCCACCATAGTCGAGGCTGAAATTTAGAAGAATATGGTCAGTGCCAATTCTGCCTTGGAAGAAACCTCAAAAAACCATCAAATGGCAAAAAAAAAACACCAACGAAAACTGGTCCTCAAAAATCTTGGCCAATCCAAATTCCTTGCTATTTTCACTTGAGGAACATTTTTATAGGGAGTGCCTCCAAAAACATTTCCCCTGCATAATACACTATCTCTACTTCATATCATTCTAGCCAGCTTTGAATATCGGAACATGGATGGAGACCAGCTCTCGCCAGAATGCCAAAAATATTGCAAATTTTTCTTTCGTGCCATTTCTAGCTTTGACGCTAATCCAGTAAAGCGGTAGATTCGATTAAACGG